CTGAATCTCCTCAGCATGCTGTACCTCTCTAATGGTACTTCTGTCTCCGCTTGTACAGTAATGTTTGTACGTATATGTAAATGACTTTTCTTACTAGATCAGAAGCTCCACAGCAGAATGTAGTGTGTAATGATTAGTTCATATGTACTCCTTGAAATCAAAGAGGGCTGCATTTCCTGTAGATAAAAATAATGAACTCAGTTGCAATTTGTTTCTCAATACTAATACCCAGAATTCTTAAAGTAAATGAACGTGGTTTGCCCCAGTTACTTATTTGGCATACTGACACAGATGCTATTGGGAAATATGATTTTATTAAGCATCGTTCTTACACTGAAACAGAGAAGTGCCAAAAGTGTAGAAGTCCAGACGCAAGTATGATAATACATCTGCTGTACTGAACAGTACAACCCAGAGTTGCTTGTCTTCTTTTCTGTGGAAACCCACATGAGGAAATACTCAATTCCTAATCTTCATCTTTGAAGTATACTTCTTGTACAGAATTTCATTTATGTGAGCATCCGGAACATCCTTTTCCCCTTTGCTAGCCACTGTGGAAAGGCTGTCACTGATTCTATTAAGTCTGTCCTCTGATCTCCTCAGTAGCCTCTCTTGACTAATCTGTCCTCACTCTTGGTCTAATTTTGAAAAACTCCGTCTCAGTTTTGTCAACTTTAGAAATGACTCATTCTCTACATACCCTTTATTGTAGTACTGTATCTTCGTATTAAAGTAAGCCTTTATCCTAATAGTAATAATTATCCTTTGTTGAGCTCTTACACCATACCAGAATACCAGATACTATACAAAAGTTTTAAGTCTTTAGGCTGTTTGCACATCAAGAAAAGCCAAAAAACCCCGTATCTAGTAAGGAGCAGATCTAGAATTGAACCAGATTTGAACCAAGATTTGATCAACCAGATCTGATTCCATAGCTTGTGTACTTAATCATTATGCTATCTTGATTGTCACTGGTAAGAGAATGTGACCACAGTAGTCACTTTTAGTACTACTCCTGATTATATTGGGTCATCTTAAAGCCTTGGTAAAGTGGTATTTATCTACAGATATTTATTTGTAAAAGATATTTAAAGGCAAATAGAATTTCTTCATCCCACCAATATAAATATCCATCCTGTGCTTCATAGGACACACTTTTTTAATCAACTAAATTAAATTTTACAGAGCTCCTGCTTTGTGTTAAGCTATTACTTTGTCAGGTGAGCAGTCTATGAAGATTTTCTCATTTCGTAAATGTGCAACCAAAGGCTGAAAAATCCCACATGGTTTGTTCATTTTACACACCTCTTGGGCTAAAGAGCTAGGATTTATGACGCAGCACTCACTCCAGTATGCTTTGTCCCATTACATATATCTGTTCCCTACTACAGCACGTTAATTCAGTATAATTGTAGTTCTGTGAGGTATCCCGGGGCTCACTCTTTTTTTTTTTTGGCTGCGTCTGGCTTTGGACCCACCACCTCCGACACATGGAGCCAGTGCCCTACTCCTTTGAGCCACAGGCGCTGCCCGGATCACTCTTGAAATAAAATACTTTAATGGCTTATTTATTTTGTTATGACTACTTCAGTCGTGTAAAATTTTAATGGTAGTTTTTTTTTTCATTTTAAATAATTGCTCCATAAGTATATGTTTTCTTCTCTGAAGATTGCTCTCTAATAGTTTTATAATTGGGTTGTTAGAGGTAACTTAAGTGTCTAGTTTAAAAAGAAAAGAGGTAAGGCCAAATTGAAGAACTGGCGTTATTTATAAATATTACTTTATTGCCACAGCTGGTCAGGTGCTTTTTAATGGAGAAAGACCATTTCAGTATTTACTTCATTTCAGTGTTTACCTTATTTTTCTCCCTTCTTCTGTTCTTATAAATACTATAAGATATTTCTTTTAAAAATATGTTTCTATAGAAAAGGATGATTATAACAGTAGAAATTCTAGTTTCAGTTTTGAGGGATATTAAATACGTATTTTTTTTTTTTTAGAGACAGAGTCTCACTGTGTTAACCTCGATAGAGTCTCATGGCATCACAGCTCACAGCAACCTCCAGCTCTTGGGCTTAGGCGATTCTCTTGCCTCAGCCTCCCGAGTAGCTGGGACCATAGGCACCTGCCACAATACCTGGCTATTTTTTTGTTGTACTTTGGCCGGAGCCTGGTTGGAACCCGCCACCCTCAGTATATGGGGGCAGCGCCCTACTCACTGAGCTACAGGCGCCGCCCTAAATATGTATTTTTTAAAGTCTCATTTTATAGGCTTGATTATACATTTCACATAAATTTAAAAAGAATCTGTATTTAAGGAATACAGACAAAATCTGCTGGTGAAATGCTCATCTACTTAAACTTCTCATTACTTGGTCACTCCTTAATTTGAAAAAAGTGTGTATGTTGTGGCTTTATTACTCAGTACATGCTTAAGTACAAGGGTTGACCAAATATTGAAATCTATAAATTACAAAATGTTGCAACTTGTAGAGATTTTAAAAAACTCTAGTGAGGTAATCTGAATACCTCAGTATGCAGTCTAATAGGTCATTTAGGCATACTTAATTCTACTCTTCCTGAAATAGCTTCTGCTCCTGGCTTCCATGACATCACATATGCTTGTATCTTTCTCACTGCCTGTCCGGCCCTTATGTCTGATTTCTCCTTTGTTCCAGCTTCCAAATGTTGTATCCCAGAGTTTTGAGCTGTATGTATGCCCTTGTTTTTCTGTCCATTACAACTCCTCAGCTCTGCTAAGGTAGCAAAAAAGCAGCCATAAATGAATGGATGTGGCCAAACTGCTCCATCACTGCAGCAGTTTGCTGACCCCTGTCCCATATGATCTGTCCAGCCCCATGGCTTTAAATGTCATCTGTGTACTGACATGCAGATTTGTATCTCCAGCTCTGACCTCTCCCATAGGTCCACCACCTGCATTTACCTCCTTACCTAACAGAGCTACTTTTTAAATTTTGTTAGGCAATCCATATGCCTGACACATCTGAAACAGTACTTTTGCATTTTTTCCCCAAAGCTCACATCACAGTGTTTCCGCATCTTAGAATATATACTACCTTCCATCCAGTTCCTCAAGCTAAAAATTGAGGTATCATACGTGAGTCTTTTCTTACATATTGTTCTACCTATGATCTATCAAAGGCTTCCTTGGTCTTCTAGAATCTGGCACTTGTTTGGGTCTCCATTTCAACTACCCAAGTTTGAGTTAACCTCATCTTTCACCAGATTGGTCTTTACTTCTCTTCTGGCCCCTTGTAATCTATTCGTTCTTCACCCATCAGCAAAATGACCTTTTTTGATAAAACCTCCAGCATCTAACCATTGCCCTAGGAATGCTTAATTTCCTTACCAAGGCCCACAGGCCCCTTCATGTTATTGCCACTGCCAGTAGCCCCCTTTCCTTTTTTTTTTTTTTTAAGACAGAGTCTTGGTCTTCTGCCTAGATTAGCTCATGATAGGTCTCTGCAACCTCAAACTCCTAGGCTCAAGCAGTCTCCTGCCTCAGCCTTCCACGCAATTGAGACTATAGGCTTGCGCCACTGTGCCTTGCCAACTTTTCTATTTTTTTTTGTAGAGACAGAGTCTCGCTCTTGCACAGGATGGTCTTCTGGCCTCAAGCAATTCACTTGCTTTTTATTGTCATAGGTTCCTTTTACTTTTCTTTGAATACAGTGAGAAACCTGAATGCTGAGAGATATGCAATAGAGTGACCCCTACAATAGTAATCAGTTGGAGAATTATTTTTATATTTTAAGAAAAGAACTATTTTTTAAAATAATGTGATTATTAAAATAATCATGAGACTAGTACCAAAGAAGGATATATATGCAAATGAAAAAAGCAGGAGACAGTATTGTATAAGCACATACGCCAGGATTACATATGCAGGTAGATAAAGATTAGGGAATATCAATAAGTGGAAAATACTTGTGTTATGATGGTAAGGTTAGGGAGATTCCAGTAGTTTGTTGTGATTGAAGATTAGGAAATATTCCCTTATTATCTAAATTTAGAATATCTTAAATAGGTTTTAATATTAGAATTTAAAAGAAACTTTTTTAGAATGGAAAAAGAAGTGTACATTTGGCCCTTGAAATGCATAGCTAATATTTATCAAGAAATACCAAAAATATTACAGCCTTTCTGAAGTGAAACTTTGCTAGAGTATAGTTCTATTTTTTCATGGAAATTGAAGATTTTCTTCTATGCAAGATATTTTTCAAAAAATATCTCTTTCATATATTTACACATGTATATCATATAGTTTATAGTTGGGAAATTGAGAGTACCTGAGATATGGTTGTAGAGTAACAAAACATAACGTAAAATTCTTTTAGTTATTATTATTATTTTTGAGACAGAGTCTCACTTTGTCACCCTTAGACTGCTGTACTGTCACAGCTCACAGCCACCTCAAAGTCATGGGCTTAGGCAATTCTCTTGCCTCAAGCCTTCCAAGTAGCTGAGACTTACAGGCACCCACCACAAGCCCTGGGTGTGTTTTTGTTGCAGTTTGGCTGGTGCTGGGTTTGAACCCGCCACCCTCGGTACGTGGGGCCGTACTGGCATCCTACTCACTGAGCCACAGGCACCACCCAATGTAAAAATTCTTTATCATTGCAAAAACTTAAATCCCCAAGTTATACTTGAAGAATTCAAGTATCTGTTTGTCCTTTGAAACCTCCCTAAAACCCTTTTAAAAAAGAGCCCTAGTCTTGTTTTTTCAAAAAATACTACTCATTTGTTAAGAGATAAGTTTTATTTATTTAATAAAGTTTAACTTTTTTGGAGGGGGTATTCAGAATTTAATAGTAAAGTACGTTTAGCATTGTTCATTTATCAGAGGTTGAAATAAGTAGTTATGCAATTGAATAATTAGAAAAGAGACCTGGATTTCAGGCCATATCCTTAGATACTTAGCCAAAGACTATTGCTTGTACTTTCTAGGTCTGTTTCCCCATCTGTAAAAGGATAGGATACAATAATTCTAGCACTTCATGAATTTGCCTGTCATCCTTATGCAGGGGCCATGCTACTCTTCTCTGTATTGTTTCAGTTTTGATATATGTGCTGCCAAAGTGAGCATAATAAATTAACTTTTGGAGTTTAATCCTATATAATTCTGTAAAAGTTTTCTTAAACATTTGACTATTTTCAAGTGTTTTCCCCATAAGTCAGTTATTTCTGAATGAATGTGGCCTCAATTTCCTTTGACATGAAATAACTTTTGTTATAGTTTCTTTACTTTTAACAATCATTTTGGCTCCAGTTTAAATTCTAGAAGGGAAGTAAGATGAATCACCAGAAAAAGAATCTTTACATATGTTATTACTGGAGAAACTGACTATCTCAGCCAAAGCCACCCTGATACCTTGTTGTATTTCTTGTGTATCATGTGAAGTATGTTTGCAGATTTTGAATCCTGAAGAAAATTGTAAGCTGATAATATTGCCTCTGGGTAAGTAAGATAAATATCATAGAGTATAATCAGATTTCTAATTGGAAGTCAAGCTACCAGTTATCAGGAATCATCTTGTTTATTCTTATCTGTGTACTTAGAACTTCTAGAAACTTGCTTTGTAATTTTATTTCTTTGTCCAGATCAACCAAGACAAAGGTTTTGTTCAATTTTACTTTATGAAGGTGTTTATGAAAGATACTTTGTAATCGTGTCTCTCTGTAATGTTCTTTTTAACTGAATTTCTGCCTATGTGTGTGTAATAAGGAAGTGTCTGCTTTTATTATGAGAGGTTCCTGGAATCTTTAAAAAGAATTCCATTCAGTGACATGTTCCTTGATGTTTTTTTTTTCTTTTTGTTTTCCCTTTCCTTTTTTTTTTGTTTTTGGTGTTAGGTGGCACTTTGTGTACTGGCAATTCTGTTTATTAAATAAACATTGGATTCCTGCTATGTTGAAAGGTGCTTAAAGGAAAAGAGATAAGATGAAAGTTCACAAGAAAGACTACAGTGTAGTGTGTATGTGGGGGGAGGGTGGGATTAAGCTATAACTGTAATAAAAAGCAGAACAAAATGTGTGTATGTGAAGGGGTAAGGGTAAGTCGGAGGAGGAATAGGGTACATCAGGCTGGGGAACTAGGAAAGACCTCTTGAAGATAGGTGGCATTTCAGCTGACCGCTGAAGAATTAGGAGAATTTTTATGTGTGGGTTTGAGAAGGTAATACAAAGGATGGAGTCTAGAATCATTCCATGTGTTTTTGAGGAACGCAGTCAATTCTGATTTCCTAGGGATAGGATGTTAGAGAGAGAGATTGATTTAGTTCATAAATATAAATTATTTCCACTAACCGAGCATGGAGGCATAGGCTGGAATAGTGTTGAGCTGAGCAGTTTGTTCTCAGTACGCAAAGTATTGTAGGAGCCATTGAAGACACTAAAGTTGGAGTGTGCCAGAACTGAAGATGGACCCTAAGAAGATTAATCTGATAGGCTGCAATTCTTTGCTGGGAAGGGTGGGAAGACCCATAGAAGGCAGTGGAGCCTGGAACAGTGGGGACAGTGGACAAAAGGAATATGGATACAGGAAATGCTGCTGTAGAGGAGCCTGTGGGGAGTGATAATGCTGGAGAGTGGAAAAGATGCCTGGGTGACTGGGCAGATAGTAATGTCTTTATTAGAAATAGAACATCAAAACCAAAGCCTGTGTTGTTTCTTTTAAAAAATGTATATAAACAGCTTTAAAGCAGTTAATGATGTTATTATTATTGTTATTATTATTTTGTTGTTTTTGTCCGGGGCTGGGTTTGAACCCACCACCTCCGGCATATGGGGTCAGTGGCATTCCTTTAAGCCACAGGTTCTTCCCCCCAGTTAATGATTTTAAATTACCTGTTGTCCCATTGCCCATATATATTTGCTACTCACATTTTGCCTGTTCTCTTTCAGGCCTTGTCCTTAAGTGCATATAAGTTTTATTGCTTATAGTTTTCCTTTTTAATTTATTTTTTATTATTTATTTTTAGATCTCCTTAAAAGAAAAGATGTCACATAATTGTTTTCAGAACTAGCCACCAAGTTATTGCTCTCTTTATTCTCAGATACTTACCAAACTTTGAGATAGAATTAGATGTTTGAATGAGCTGGAAATATCAGGCAACAAATAATGATCCTGTTTCTACTTAAAATTTTCATGTTTTGTTTATCATGGATACTTTTGCATTAATTTTAATTTTTCTAGATACTGCATTATTTAATTTCTGAATTTTTTGGCACTCCGTTAAATTTTGCACCCCAAATTTTGCCTCCCTCATTTTTATCCTTGTCCTGTTTTAAAGCCTTGTGAATAACTAGAATCAGAAGGAAGGGCACATGGATAGAAAGTGGTTACCAGCAGGAACCCTGAGGAATAATCTCCGTTTAGGAGTGGAAAGAGGGAAAAGATTCAGTGGAAAGTGAGAAGGGGCCATTCCATTCGAGGAGCAGATTGACAGTTGACCCAGGAGAGGACATTCAGACAAGGTGGGATGAGGATAGAATTTTAAGAAGAAATTAGGGTGGTCATTAATAGTCATGCTTCAGAAAAGCCAAGAAAGGAAGAATACAGCTTGATAGAGGGAGTGACTATTTTGGTGATTAAGAATGTCATCGACTGCTTTGAAAGGAACAAGAGTTCCTGAAAAATGTTTCACTTTAATCTGGAGGCTAAGAGGTAAAGGTGGTGAAATTTTATTAACTCACGTCCTGGATGGAATGTTAAGGAGATTTTGCATTGTTTTTAAATTAAGAAAGTTTTGAAATTCAAATGACTTCCTTAATTTATATATACAATATAAACAAAAGTGTGGCAACTTATATTTTCTGTACCTGCATAGACAATTGGAAGTCTTGTAACATTTACGTGCCTGTATCATACATGCTGTTTTGTAGTTTATGCTTTTTGTATTGTACATGTGAATTTTATGATTGATTTGAAGATATTGATTTATCCTTGCCATTCAGATAGCTCCTGATATTAACCACCTTCCTTTAAAAATTATGTTAGTGTTTAGTAATATATTGTTTGCTTAATTTTGCTCTGGATATGGAGCAAAATATCAGAATGTTTCAGAATGTTCCCTTTTATATTTCCAAACTTAAGAGTCTTACAATTATGCGCTTTCATAATAACTGTGAGCATTCATAGAGAGTCGTATCTTAGCCCTCTGCTTTTCTCTATTTATACCCACTTACCTTTGAAATTTTGTGTATCATTTCTTGGGTGTACTGCTTTCTCATTTTAGGGAGGAGGACTCCCAGATACATATCTACATCTTAGTCTCTGAGTTTTTGTCTTCTTTAAGCAGACATTTATTTATTGAGTTTTTGCCATATGTCAGGCAGTGTGCTAGGGCCTGGTGAGCAAAACAGATACCCACATGGTGCTGATACAGCCCCTTTGAACATCCTTTTATCTCATGTCTCTTTATCACTTTTATAGTAACTCCCGCCTGAATATTCTACCATTAGCTGTTCAAAACTGAACTTATCTTTTCCTTCAAACCATTTATTTTTGCAGAATTAATCCACTTTTTTAAAATGATACCAAATTTTTGCTCCCCAAAGATAAAAGCCAGGAAGGGTCAGTCATGTGCTGTTTTCTGTCGATTCTTCCTTAGTGGCCAGTTCTTTTCCATTCATTGCCTCTACTAATTATGTGCATACGACTGCAGTGGTCTGCTGCCTGGCCTTTGCTGTTGCCAGGCTAATTCTACTAAAGATACACATTTCCACGTTGGCCAGAAAATATTATTGGTTATCCGTTTGGTACATAGAATGAAAGAAAAATTAGGACTATTCCCTTGTCCCCCTTCTCAGACCTTTGTATCAGAAGTATTTGTCTATCTTTTGAACGTTCTTACTTTTTCTTAATCATTTTCCCCAGCTAACGTCCTGTTTTCTTCTCTTTAATTTTCTGAGTTAGCACAACTAAATTCTTGCTTATTTTATAAGACTTCCCCCATTGAAGGAGACTGCTTTTATAAATGCTATTACTTATATATGCATGTGTACACACACATACACATAACACACACGCGTGCACGCACACACATATATATATAATCTTTTTATTTAAAAAAAAATTTTTACTATGTTTTCTCTCCCAGTTAATCATTGAACTGCTATAAAGTCAGGCCTGACAGAGTACAGAGTAGGAAGACCAGATAAAGATCAAAGAGGCAGTGGCCACTTGAAAGCTGCCTCTTTGAAAATAGTCAAAAACCTGGTGCTTTTTTGTAGTTGGAGCTCTGTATTAGTTTTATATTAAAGGTATGTAATGTAGTTCTTTAGTCTTTCTCAATAACATGGTAACCAAAGTGTTAACTTTTCTCTGTATAGTTGGAGAGTATTAAATACTATTTTATATTGTTTAGTTCCCTGCTTTGTTTGAATTTACTAAACTTTGATTTTGTTACTTTTGTCTGTTATTCACTTTTTCTATAATTCATATTAGTTCCTCTTGAGAGTAAAAAAAAAACCTAATCAAGTTGAGGCAGTAGTAAACGCGCTTGGTAAATCTGTGAGTTCAGCACCACTGCTACAATTTATAAATTCTTGAGGACATTTATAAAATGTCCCTGTCCCTTAAGGACATTGGTCTCAATTTTTTAATCTGTAAATAGAAGTTTCAAGTGATCTTTTAAAACTCCAAAGTCAAATGTTTTTAATATTCATATTGCCACTAAGTATTTGCCCCTTTCCTTTCTTGGACGTTAGCTTGAAGTCAGAGTTTTGTAAAAATAAAGTTTTGATGTCATGTTTTCCTTTTAGATTCCTTTGTAGGATTAGTTATTACTGCTTTATTTGGAGTTTTTTCAGTTCTGGGCCTAGTAAATGTTTTCACAACAAGCACCCCCTGATCATTGATGAGGATAAATTAACCTTTTACTTATTTTATTTTTTTCTTTTAAGGTATTTTCAAAAGAAATAATTCCAGATTAATGGATGAAATTTTAAAACAACAGCAGGAACTTCTGGGCCTAGATTGTTCAAAATACTCACCA